TGAGAACTTGATCAGAAAGGAGCTTTCCGATGAGCAAGTCATCACAAACTATAAGGCCTCGTGTGATGGAGGGATTCTCAAGGTCATGAGCAAGATGGGTATTTCCACACTGCAGAGCTATAAAGGAGCTCAGATATTTGAAGCGTTGGGCATTGACGATAGCGTTATCGATCGTTGCTTTGCCGGAACGCCCAGCAGAATTCGAGGAATGACGTTCAAACAGATCGCCCAGGATGCATTTGCATTCCATGAACGAGGATATCCCACCCGCCAGATCACCCAGATTCCTGGTCTTCCGGAATCCGGTGAATACCATTGGCGAGATGGCGGCGAAGCCCATATCAACGATCCCGTCAGCATCGCCAATATCCAAGACGCTGTACGGACCAAAAACGACAAATCATACGAAGCTTACGCACGATCAGAACATGAGCAGATCAGGAATTGCACACTCCGTGGACTGCTCGACTTCGACTTCGAACAACGTACTCCTGTGCCAATTGAACAAGTTGAACCATGGACTGAAATTGTCCGTCGTTTCGTCACCGGCGCCATGTCCTATGGCTCCATCTCTTACGAATCGCACTCGACGCTCGCCGTTGCCATGAATCGCCTTGGTGGTAAATCCAACACTGGCGAGGGTGGAGAAAATGCCGAACGGAGCAAGATCCTCGAAAACGGGGACACCATGAGATCTGCCATCAAGCAGATCGCTTCAGGCCGCTTCGGTGTCACTTCCGCATACCTGGCCGACGCCGACGAGCTGCAGATTAAGATGGCGCAGGGTGCCAAGCCCGGCGAGGGCGGAGAACTTCCCGGCTCCAAAGTCACGGGACCGATCGCACAGACGCGCCGCTCCACCCCTGGAGTCGGACTCATCTCTCCGCCACCACATCACGACATTTATTCTATCGAGGATCTGAAGCAATTAATTTACGACCTAAAATGCTCTAACCCTCAGGCACGTGTTTCCGTTAAACTTGTCTCCGAAGTCGGTGTGGGCATCGTTGCTTCTGGTGTCGCAAAGGCTAAAGCAGACCACATTCTCATCTCCGGCCATGATGGAGGAACGGGTGCGTCCCGATGGACCGGTATCAAATACGCTGGTTTACCGTGGGAGCTGGGTCTTGCCGAGACCCATCAAACTCTTGTCCTGAATGACCTTCGAGGTCGCGTTATCGTGCAAACTGACGGCCAGTTACGCACCGGTAGAGATGTCGCCATCGCATGCTTGCTTGGAGCCGAAGAATGGGGCTTTGCCACGGCTCCATTGATTGCCATGGGTTGCATTATGATGCGCAAATGTCATCTCGGCACCTGTCCAGTTGGTATCGCGACACAGGATCCTGCCTTGAGAGAGAAATTTGAGGGAACACCCGAGCACGTCATCAATTTCTTCTACTATGTAGCCAACGAGCTTCGCGCGATTATGGCTAAACTAGGTATGCGGACTATAAATGAAATGGTTGGCCGTGCGGAGCTCCTTAGGATCCGTGATGATTTGCCCTCCCCAAAGCTGGAAAACATCGACCTCTCGCTCATTCTTACTCCTGCTCATTCTCTCCGACCGGGAGTCGCGACCTATAGTGTTCGGAAACAGGATCATCGTCTCCATGTTCGATTGGACAATAAACTTATAGCCGAGGCCGAACTTGCATTGGAGAAAGGCCTTCCTTGCCGTGTCGAGTGTGATATTGTTAACACCGATCGTGCAATGGGCGCTACTCTCTCCTACCACGTAAGTAAACGATACGGTGATACCGGGCTTCCGCAAGACACTATACACGCAAATATTAAAGGTTCTGCTGGTCAATCTTTCGGTGCTTACTTAGCCCCTGGCATTACCCTGGAGCTTGAAGGTGATGCCAATGACTACGTCGGCAAAGGTTTGTCCGGCGGCCGTCTCATCGTCTACCCGCCTCGTGGGGCGGTGTTTAAAGCCGAGGAAAATATCATCATTGGAAATGTCTGTTTGTATGGTGCCACTGGAGGCAGCTGTTATTTCCGTGGTGTGGCGGCCGAGCGCTTTGCTGTCCGTAACTCAGGAGCTACTGCAGTCGTTGAAGGTGTCGGTGACCACGGCTGCGAGTATATGACGGGCGGTCGGGTTCTTATTTTGGGTTCTACCGGCCGTAACTTTGCAGCTGGTATGTCTGGCGGAATCGCCTATGTGCTAGACGTGAATGGCGATTTCCATACTAGGGTCAATACGGAAATGGTTGAGCTTTCCGGAATAGAAGATCCCGCGGAAGTTGCATCTGTTCGCAGCCTTATTGAAGACCATCACCATTATACCGGCTCCGAAATTGCAGCTCGAATCCTTTCTGACTTTACTCGGGCGTTGTCTCACTTTGTCAAGGTCTTGCCCACTGACTACAAGCGGGTTTTGGAAGAAGAAGCCACGAAGAAAGCTGGTGCAAAGAAAATCGCCTTTACCCCCGCTCAGTCGCCCAATCTTGCTTCAAAGGAGCACCGTGAGGAAGCGAAGAAAAGTGATATTCTCGATATTGAGGATAGCATTACTGATTCCAAAACTGAGAAAAAGCGCACAACTTTGATTCTTGATAAGACCAAGGGTTTCATGAAATATCACCGTCGCAACGAGAAATACCGAAGCTCCAAAACTCGAACGCGAGATTGGGCTGAATTGTCCCAACGCCTAAACGAGGACGAACTCAAATACCAGTCTGCTCGCTGCATGGACTGCGGTGTCCCATTCTGCCAATCCGACACTGGTTGTCCGATCTCCAACATTATCCCAAAGTGGAACGAGCTAGTTTTCCAGAACCAATGGCAGGATGCACTTAATCGTTTGCTTATGACAAACAATTTCCCCGAGTTTACGGGTCGTGTGTGCCCTGCTCCGTGTGAAGGCGCATGTGTTCTTGGTATCAATGAAGATCCCGTTGGCATCAAATCGATTGAATGCGCTATTATTGACCGTGGATTTGAGATGGGTTGGATGGTCCCCAAGCCACCTCCGGTTCGCACAGGCAAGACCGTTGCCGTTATTGGTTCTGGTCCGGCTGGCCTTGCTGCGGCAGATCAACTTAACCGTGCTGGCCACAGTGTTGTTGTCTACGAGCGCGCCGATCGTATCGGCGGTCTTTTGATGTACGGTATTCCGAACATGAAGCTTGATAAGAAGATCGTTCAAAGACGTGTCGATTTCATGGCCGCTGAGGGTATCAAATTTGTTGCAAGCACGCCCGTTGGGCCAGACTGTGATGTGACTTTACAATCTCTGCGGAAAGGAAATGATGCTGTCATCATCGCTACCGGTGCAACGGTTGCTAGGGATCTCAAAATTCCCAACCGTGAGCTGCAGGGTATCCACTTCGCTATGGAATTCCTCCATAAGAATACCAAGTCTCTTCTTGACTCCGAGCTCGCCGATGGCGCATACATATCCGCGAAAGGTAAAAATGTTATCATTATTGGAGGTGGAGACACGGGTAATGATTGCGTTGGAACTTCAGTTCGTCATGGCGCCAAGTCTGTCACCAATTTTGAACTTCTTCCACAGCCTCCCCCAGAGCGTGCTGGTGATAACCCTTGGCCCCAATGGCCACGTGTGTATCGTGTGGACTATGGTCACAGCGAAGTTAAGGCGCATTTCGGTCAAGACCCTCGCGAGTATTGCGTCATGTCCAAAGAATTTGTCGGCGATGAACATGGCAACGTGAAGGGTATCAATATCACTCGCGTTGAATGGACTAGGAGCGCTTCTGGAGGCTGGGACATGAAGACAGTTGAAGGAAGTGAGCAATTTTTCCCTGCAGACCTTGTCCTGCTTTCCATGGGCTTTTTGGGCCCCGAGGAACGTGTTCTAGGCAGTGAGGTAGAATTGGATGCCCGTAAGAACATCAAGACACCTGCTGGTCAATACAGCACCAATGTCCCCGGCGTGTTCGCTGCAGGAGATTGCAGACGCGGGCAGTCACTGATCGTCTGGTAAGTCCAAATGAGCTAACATACATTCCGTTTGGCTAGTCTAAGCGTATAATAATTTTTAATTTTTCCTTAGGGGTATCAATGAAGGACGTCAAGCTGCCCGTGAAGTCGACTCTTATCTCATGGGCTCATCGTCCCACCTTCCTGTCACTGGAGGCATTGTTCGCCGCTCCGCTATTGACTCTGTGCCAGTGACACCTCAACCTCAAGTTCAACCGGTTTTTGCGTAGAGAAGTGATCATGGCGGAAACGCATTTCTACCCGTGTAGTATCACTCTGTGTTCAGTCACAGTCTAGGCATACTCGTCTCTTATCCCAATTTTTGATGTATTGGCTGATTTCAAACATCTTCACGTTTTTCCAGCAATTTCTCTCCCTCTATATCCTTTTTGCGTTGGGGTGTTAAGATACCTATTCTTCTTCGAAAGCAAGCAACTGAAAATTCTGGGACTATTTATCAAAGCAGTGTATTATCATACTTGTTCTAGGCATTGAAACATATACCCTCTGCTTTCGCGCCTTGTCATTTCATAAATATATACACGCATCTTGGGCCTTCACAAGGTTGCGGACTAAATGTTGTTGTGTCCTTGTGCGATCCCCCGGATGAGTGATAAATGTAGAATTTGATTGAGGCTATGTATGTATAAAAGGTATCCAAAAGCACAGCTGGAACAAAAACAAACTGCAGTAGCTTACCCTCCCATTGTTTTTATAATGTGCTGCTTGCAAGATTAAGCTCACTCCCCTGGGTCAGTCGCCATAGAGTCGTGTGTGGCTAGCTTTGTCAAAGTCAAAGTTCGGTATTTTCCCAAACTAATCTGCATGGATCTTTGGATTCTTGGAACGTTGGTTCATTTGTGACTTGTATCTATCCATGTGCAAAACGAATCTTCTTATAGATCTAACTGAGCTATCGGCGTCAGCAATCGGTCCCGGTCTTGATGCTCCTCAACACACCCCTCGCCTATGCCCTCCCGTTTCCATCCAATACCTCTAAGCTGGAGTCAATCTCTCCTTTCTATTCTCCAGACTGGAAGTTATTTTCAATTCTTCGAATCACTTAACTTTGAAAACTGAACTGTTTCCATCGTCACCTTGAAATGGTGATTGATTTCCGCGGTGTGTTGGATAGCCTTGACATCGAAAATGATATCTCCCCCATGTGGGACTACATTTGCGTCCCAGTCCTGTTGTCCACCCTCCAGGAGGACACGTGTGTCTTCGCATACATCCAAGTGGAGTCTAATGGTGCCTGTCTGTGTTTCCTGCAGCTCCTCTCGTAATGTCGCCCATTCCTCGCACAGCACTGCCTGCTCTATTTTGAGCTTCTCAAGCTCTTGAAACGTCTTCCCAAACGTCTCTATCACGGCAACCCCCTCCTTGTTTCCAATGCATCTTCTCTCGATGCAATTCTCAATCTTTGTCAGATTTAACTGCATCTAGCAGGCACTTGGCCGGGCTACCGCCCGTATACGATAGCCCCCTTATAGCAAAATACCCTAAATTGTTGAAGTTGGAAACAAAGAGATTCTAGTTTTGGAAGCCAGCCATGTCGCTCTCAGGAATGAGCTAGTCGCGGGTTTCGGTCAAGGATATCATGTCACTGTCACGCAGTATCAAAGGTATAGACTAGAAGATTGCTTTCAGACAGTCAAAGAGTATGTGGTTATCAGACATTTTGATCTTCAGGTCTCTTGAATAGCTTGAAAGCCCTTTGTACTCCAGTGATAAAGTCATATTTATTGATAATAAGGCTGAATATGATGAAAGACGAGAGCTTCTAGATGTTTTAAATCTCTAGAGAGACTATAAATGCTCGGTCAGTCTGGTTCTTTGGTGAGAAAACAAGAGTCTAAAAAGACATATATACCACCTCCAAAATGGAATATCACAAGGGAAAAAAAAGGAAACAAAGAAACCCTCAGTCATTGCATACGGCATTCACAGGGTCCCAGACGCCCTCATTTGCGTCCTCTGTTCCTTCTCCCTCTGTTCCGCAAGCTTCATCTCTCTCTCCACTGCTGCAAAATCTCCTTGAAATGCGCCTTTTACCGGTTCGGTTCTTATATCCCATACATCCTCACTAGTCGGACCCGTCTTCCATTTGGCGGCCTTTTTGCGCTGATGATCCATGATCATCTTGGCCCTATCTTCCTCTGAATATGACTTCGTGCGCATGCAAAACCAAAAATCGGACCAGTGTTGGCTGCAGTCCCGTAGCTCGCCGTACCGGTAGTAATTCACCCACTGGCCGCCAAAGGATTGACAGAAGAATGCGTAGTCGAAGGCAGTGCGGCAGGACATCGTGGTCGGGTAGAGGGAGTCGGGGTCAATGGAAGACGGCAGGGAGGTAAGCTGTGAGGAAGAATTTATAGGGTGTGAGGATTCAGTCGTGTCTTTCATTCCGGAAAGAAAGGCTTGCAGTTCAGCGTCCGCCTGCTCATCGCGGCTCACTGGTGTGTGCTTCAGCGTCGAAGGTGTTGATGGGTGCTCCGTCGCCTGACGCTGCGATGGCGCGTGTCCATTGTCGGAAGCGGGAAGCGCTGGTGCTTCTTCAGGTTGATTAGACGAGCTCCACCACCATCCCATTTTCTTTTTTCCGTTTGTAGGTTCTGACAAGAGTTCGCTTTGCAGTGCCCCGAAAGCTGCGAATGCGAAATTGTCGTCGTTTGAAATTTTGGCGTACCAGGGCTGTATCACTGGTACTAGCGTATTTTAAGGTTGAAGATGGCTACGTCATTGCCCCTGCCAGCTCTCCGCACTCCGCCGGCGAGGTGACTTGCTGACGGTTTGCATTTATTCCCAGACCCAGCCATATCGCGGCTTCATTACCATAAAGAAATGAAGATCATGACACCACAATGATACAATTTTCGGGAAGGGCATGCCTACGGCAGGGTTGGAAATGTGCGGCCGGTGTTGGCCTGCGCTGTCATGGCGCCCACTCTTCACCTCCGCTCCATGTCCCGCCATTCAGGAGATACACCGCAACCTACTCCCGAGCTGATGAAACTGGGCATATCGATACGGCACCGAACGAGTCGGTATTCTATTTCGATAGTATGCCCCGTCTGTCATTTGTTTAGCAATGTTATGGATGCTGATAGCAAGCTAGGTGTCTTACCAGTCAAGGCCCTTTTCTCGCGCCGTTTTGCACCCTTAGATCTGGCTCCGTCGATGACAGGACGAATTGGGAATCTAATAATAAAACTGACTGGCGCGACTCCGCTGAATGTCATTGGGCGAGCGTTCCCTCTAGAATTACAGGAGAACATTCAGCAGGTCATCCCGCGCTATTCAGAGGGTGGTGCGTTCGTTAAGCTTTCGCACCCGCCCAATATGGACAAGGAAGGGTTGTCAAGCTTGTTGAACACACATCTTGAACAGAATCCGCTAAAGCTGTGGTTCTCTCCTTTTACATCGGTTAGGGCTTCTCTGGTTCGTGGTCGACCTTGGCTGGAAGACCTTCAGAGGTCTCCCAGTTCAAGAATTAAAGTGGAATTTCTCCCAACGTCTCCGGGTGCTTCATCGGTAGAATTGACACCTGAATTGCTTTATTCGCTAAGTCGCCGCTATGGAAAATTGGCAGATATCATCCCCCAGCCGTCCGACTCGAAAATCCAGCCAAGATATGCCCTTCTCGATTTTACGAGGCCTAGTTATGCTGTCATAGCGAAGAATTGTCTCCATGGATACAAAGTCTCGGCGTCTGAAGGCGGAGGAAGTGCTGGCACGCTATTAAAACTTTCATACGAGCGGAAACTAAAACCGCACGTCATCAGAGGTTGGATTGTCAGCCACCCGAGAATCGTGATTCCGATAATAGCTGCGGTTATTGCGGCGATCACCGTTATCGTCTTCGATCCCATTCGTACCTTTTTCATTAAGATACAGATCGCGCCACCAATTGATGTTCAAGACAATAGGTTATGGCAGTGGATCCAACGACAAGCGAGCAAAGCAAACGACATTCTGTCATTGCGTCAACGCCAACGCTCGGATTCTAGAGGCCTGAAGGCGATATGGGAAGACCGTAAAGAAGACATCCAGCGGCTCCAGACTTGGCTGCTGGAAGCCACGAATACCTTTACCGTTGTTCATGGACCTAGGGGATCAGGAAAAAAGGAGCTTGTGCTTGACGAAGTATTAAAGGGCTATCGACACAAACTTGTAATTGACTGCAAGCCTATTCAAGAGGCAAGAGGCGATAGCGCTACAATCAACGCTGCTGCGGCGGAAGTCGGCTATCGGCCTGTATTCTCGTGGATGAACAGCATCAGCAGCCTCATTGATGTTGCGACGCAGACGCTGGGCGCAAACGCAGGTCTCTCAGAGACATTGGACTCCCAATTGGGACACATTCTCCAAAATACTGCAAATGCATTGAAAAAAGTAGCTCTCGAGAAAAAGAGGTGGGATGGTAAAGACTCTCACATGACGGACGAGGAGTTCCTAGAAGCTCATCCCGAGTGTAGGCCTGTCGTCGTCATCGACAACTTTTTATACAAGGCCAACAACAACCCGATGATATATGAGAAACTCTCTGACTGGGCAGCTGCGCTAACAGTCTCCAATATCGCTCGAGTCATCTTCCTAACTGGGGATATCTCCTACTCGAAAACACTCAGTCGGGCTCTGCCTAATCAAATATTCCACGAAATCCAACTCGGAGACTGCACTCCAGATGTTGCGAAGCAGTTTGTCCTTGATCACCTTCACACAGATCAGAGTAACAGCAGTAGTTACACCCAGGCAGGACCGGATACTATAGAAGGTGGCGATATCAAGGATCTTGAGGATTGTATTGAAGTCCTTGGGGGTCGATTATCAGATCTAGAATTTTTTGCAAGAATGATTAGCAGAGGGCAGAGTCCTAGCGGTGAGTAATAAGAGAAAAAGCCATTTTCGTGTAAGAATGATGTTAATATACAACACAGATGCTGTCCATGACATTATTGTGCAATCCGCTGCAGAAATACTCAAGATGTATATTGCCGACGTTGACAACACCGTTCGAAATTGGACGCCAGAACAAGCATGGTACCTGGTCAGCAGCCTTGCAGAAGCCCAAGGGGGAAGCATCCTGTACAGCGAAGCCTTATTCTCCGATTTGTTTAAGAAGGATGGTGAAAGTACGATTCGCGCCCTTGAACAAGCGGAGTTGATCTCTGTAACCACGCTCAATGACCGCCCGTCGACAATCAAGCCGGGCAGGCCTGTATTTGCAGCTGCCTTTAGGCGACTGCTTGAGGATGATGTCCTTCGGTGTCGACTTGGACTGCGGACGCTCGGACAGCAGATAGCGATGGAAAACGCAAACATCAACAAGTACGAAGGAGAGTTACAGGTATTGGGGTCTCTCGAAAAAGAACCAAAGGAAATTCGGCCCCGAGTTCGATGGCTCCTCGAAAAGCTCGCAGGCAGCCAAGCAAAGATTGAAAAGTACGAGAAGGAAAGTGTAGGACTAAGGAGGATCCTTCAGTCGAAGATGTGATGGGCCCAACTACCTGTGAATATCCATTCACAGTGCTCTGTAATTTAGATCTACTCCAAAATTTTAGAAGAGGAAAAAAAAAAAAAAAAAAAAAAAAAAGTTGGATATCCGTACTCCGTAAAAGGTGAACGAAATGTGAATGTCAGTATTCGCTGCCAGACGTAGTTAAAGTCAGCCAATCAATGCCTGAGGGCGAAGGCACATCTTGATTAGGTAAGTCAGCTACCCTAACTAAACTCTAAACGGGTCTAGCTTGCAACTTCAGCTTTCGGCTTCACCCAACCCAGCTTTGTAGTTACTTCATATCAAATCTGCATTTCGGGATACATATTTCAATAGGCATTCTTTTTGTTTCTAGAGTATTCATTTTCAGGGTATATTGCCTCTTTTTGCGTTTGGTTGCATCTTTTAAGTTTTGAAGCGGTTGTTTCATCCTGCTCTTTTCCTTGCTCACATATAGCTTCCCCAAGAACTTAGAGAAAGGAGGTGTCATAACGAAGTGTATGGCTTCAACACCCACTCGACTCAAGTGACTGGAAGAAAATTTTTGATTACCCCAGAACCATGGAAGAAGAAACAGTGTCTGTTCCGCTTCTTATCTTCCAGTCTCTTTCGAAGGTTGCATCGGGAATATCACCGCTGCTAGTTCTTGCGCTCGTCATTTCAATTTGCATTTTGACCCGAATCACTACTGGAATTACTAGTCGTCTAAGCAAAACATACCCAGATGGAACAGTATCAGTAAGGCAGGTCCCGTACTGGCTCCCGTATGCTGGACATGCGTTCTCCTTGGGTTTCAGACGGCGGAAGCTTTTTGAGAATGCACGGTAAGTATCTAGTCAGGATTTTCTGTCCCCCTCCCTTTTTTATCCTAATTTTATCTGATATCTGTCAGAAAATCCACCAAGGAGCCTGTTGTTAGCCTCAACGTTCGAGGCAAATCTCATAACGCTATACTCAGTCCAGCCATGGCAGCGGCGTTGTTGAAGCAGTCATCATCACTTTCCACTGAGCCTGCAACCGATTACATTTTAAAAAATGCCTTTGGTGCGGGGAGAAGTGTTGGGACACTTAACCGTAGTGACTTTTACGGGGACTCCGGGCCAATTCAGTTTCTCAACAAAGAACCCTGGCTAACTGATATTACTTCTGCTATTGCACGTCAAGTTCAGCAAGCTATGCCGAACCTGCTATCATTCTCCCCCAGTGTTGTCGATCAGTCAACGTGGGAGAGGGTAAGCGACGTATCTATTAGCCACGAAAATGGAGAGCCAATTTGCGAAGTCTACCTATTTGCCCTTGTGCGAAATTTCATCGGTACGATATCCACTACCGCCCTTATGGGAAGCGCTTTTACAGAAACTTTCCCATATGCTCTTAACGAGTTATGGAATTTTGATGGGAACTTCAACGCAATTCTGTCGAGTATTCCTCGCTGGATTCCGTTTCCGGGACTTGTGTCTTCATATTCAAGTCGCCGGCGTCTATTACTTGCCATGAAGGTTTTCCATGACGCGTTTGCAGCCACTGAAATCGGAGTGGATCCTGGATTTGATTGGCGGGATATGGACGACGTCTCAGAGGTTGTCAAGGCCCGTTCACGAGCTTTGATCGAGGCAGGGTGTTCAGCGGAAGCGGCGGCGTCTGAACACCTGGCCTTCTTCTGGGCTATGAATACGATAACGAATACGTTAGTATTTTGGAACTTAGTTCACATTCTCTCCGACGAAGAGCTGCATGAAAAGATACTAGAAGAAATCGCACCTTATTCGAATGCGGCACGCCCCGACTGGCGGGAATCGGGCTTTAATATCCCTGAACCACCTCGCTTGCGTTTGGATGCCAACGCGCTTGTCTCTTCTTGTCCAATACTGAAGGCTACCTACTATGAAAGCCTTCGCCTCTACTCCTTGCCGCTAAGTTACGGACAGGTAACGAAGGATGTGTCCCTAGCGGAGCCTACAGTGGTCGATTCCCCATCATCGACTTACAAGTGCGAAGCCGGTACTTATGTTGCTATTCCGCACTTCATACACAATATGAATACCGACTCCTTCCACGAACCAACGAAGTTCGACCCACAGAGAATTTTCCCTCATGATCTAGAGAAAGATTCAGATACCCCCGACAATTACGAATCATCTGAAAATGAGAAGTTGATATCAAATGATTCGATTTCCCAAAAGGTAAACGATATTTGGCCGAGTGAGGCCAGCCCCGTCCTGGGCTTCAGTCGCGAGTTTGCGGAGGGGCAAGCTCTTGTCTTTACTGCTGCTTTTCTCACGATGTGGGACATTCAACGGGCAAGTGGCAGGCGCTGGACAGTTCCGCGCCAGAAGGCGGGTAGCGCGGTGTGTGTGCCCAGGAACGATGTCATGGTGAGGATGAAGCTAAGGGTGTAGACGACAACATGTGCTGAGCACAGTGTTGGGCAAAGGATTTTTTCATAGAGCCTTACTGATTTCGATACTGATGCTCCATGCGTGCATTTGCCGTATTTTCTTCTTAAATGTAACTTTATTATATTATTCAACCTGTGTTCCGTAATCGTGAATGCACTACGGAGTACTCCGTACAGAGTACGGAGTATTCATGCCATAAACCAACATATAGGGGATAGCCGGTTGCGACGGTAAGAGGAAAGAAAACGTTAGCTCTAAACCTTTTCTAGTATTGGCAGGGCCTGTCGGGCCAATCATGATGCGCGAGTCGAAACGCGAAAACGCGTCCACCAGCCGAGTCAACTAACGAGGACCACAGGGAAAGACAGCAGTGCCGATTCTTGGTTCAGCTTCAAGGTGTTGAAGACTACTACGGAATATTTTGATCAAATCAATGCTTGTGTAGTTATCAGCTCGTTTGAACCTACTGGCGACCACGCAATTGAGACAATCGGCGCAAAATGGCGCCGGAAAACGCCCGACCCAGAGGCAGACCTGCGCGTAAGGATGCCCCCAGAAAGACAGTCAGATTCAAGTCCTGAGATTCGTCTTCCATGCTGATTTGATGTTGTGGTGCAGATACACCGGGGACGACCGTTTTATCATACACTCCCAACGGACACAAAGTTGTCACAGGCGGTTCGAACTCCACAATCCGAATATATACGATTGGGGAAGATGGCGAGCCAAAGACGGTTGACGAGGGTGTGGAGGGTCACTTGGCAATTGCCGCCCTGGTATGGCTGATATTGTTCTGGATAGACATCTGGGATATGTGGAATGCGTTCTAACAGGAGAACACATCCTCCCCTAAGTAGAATGATTCGTTTATAATGGGGGCAGAAGATGGAACAGTTTGGCAGTATGGACTGCCAGATGGTCAAATGGATAAAATGCTTGTCAGATGTTCGTTGCCCGTGCGAGGTTTAGCTATTTCGAAAGATGGGGACTGGTTAGCGGTTGCCAGTGAGTAAGTGAAAGACGACGGCCACGCCTGTTTTAAATGTTCGAAAACTAACAGGGTGGTTTTCTAGCGAGCTTGCCGTCAAGATCGTTAACATAGAGGATATGACACAAGTTAAGTATTTACGAGATCAGACAAAAGGTGTCAAACATGTTACCTTCGACCCAAGCGGGAGATATGTCTCAGTTTCTTGTTCCGATGGAATCATCTACGTTTATTCCTTCACAGAAATGGAGCCTTCGCTCATACAGAAGATCGACGGTGTTATCCGAAGAATTGAGACTGAGGACGAGGGTACATCACAAGCCGTATGGCATCCCGATGGAACGGCCTTCGCAGCTGTAGAGGCCACAAAGGATATTGTCGTGGTATCTAGCAGAGACTGGACAAAGCAGAAAAGATTTTCCAACGGGCATACCGCAGATATTACGGCTCTCGCCTGGTCACCGAATGGTGCACTCTTAGCAAGTGCAGGTGCAGACCGCCAGATTGTGCTCTGGGAAACCCGAACCCAAAGCATTCTTCGAAAATACGACTTCGCGAATGTAATCAACCTTGCATGGCACCCGGTTAACAACGAAGTCTCATTTACGACCTCAGATGGAGAGCTGTATATTCATGAAGCTTTTGTCCCCTCAGAACATCAGCGATTACTTGAGAAAGCGTTGGAAATTGCGCCTTTACTTTCCACCGGAGTTGATATTGGCAATGAGCTTCCGAGTCGAACCATTGCGAATGGGGCTCGCAGGGAGAGGCAAGTCCGGAGAGGTACTCCTGATTCTCTAGATGATATATTAGGACCCATGGACGAAGACGACGATTTCGTGGAGGATGATGATGGCGCAGGTTATGCTGAAGATGTCAACGGTTTTGGGAAGCGTAGCAATGGTCATCTGGGTGATCCGTATGGCCACGATAATAAGAGAAGAATCGGAACATCATGGCAGCCGCAAGCACACGAGGCATTTCAGCCTGGGAGCACGCCCTGGAGGGGCGGTAGAAGATACCTATGTAAGTCACAAAATTCAAATTCGTATCCAATTTCCCATACGAACCATTAATAACGGAGGTAGGTCTGAACCTTGTAGGATTTGTGTGGAGTGTTGACCAAGAAACCCACAACACTGTCACTGTGGAGTTTTATGATAGGGAGCGATATCGTGACTTCCACTTTACAGATCCGTTCCTGTATGACAAGGCCTGCTTGAGTATGCAAACTCCATATATATCATTGCAATACGTGTGGTTACTAACAGCTTGTAGACGAAAAAGGAACCCTGTTCTCTTGCCAACCTTCAAATGGAAATCCCGCAATCATCTTCTATCGACCACATGAGATGTGGACGACCAGGGCCGATTGGAGAACAGAGCTCCCTGAAGGAGAGGAAATCACAGGTAAGGGAGAGATACGCCGCGACTCTGTCTCTCTGATTGCTAAGAGTGATATGTAGCAATTGCATTGAGCAATTCCTATATTGCTGTAAGCACGTCAACAGACTATGTTCGGATCTATACGTTATTCGGTACTCCCTATCGCGTCTACAGACAAAAAAGCCAAACTGTCACCTGTGCTGCTTGGAAAGATTATGTGCTGACTATCGGAAACGGCCCAATT